CCTCTTCATCTAAGTATATCAAATTGAAAGTTATAAGACAAAACTGAAGAACTGTTGCTCCTTATTCTGCTCAGTGGTATCAAAATCATGCTCCCTGGTGGGCTGCCAGGTGGCATGGCAGTTGGAGACGTTGGATTCCCACATGGCTGACCATGGTTCGAGTCCTGAATCTGGAGGGCTGCTTACTCTCTCTCTCTCTCTCAATATTTAAAAAAAAAATTATAAAGTTAAAATAAATAATTCTTTTAAAAAAAAAATCATGGTCTTTAGATTTGAAGAGAATAAGGTGAAAAATTGACTCTCCCTTTTCCATGATCTATTCCTGGGGTTTTCAGTGAACCCTGGAGATTTTTGTTTATGAATATGTTTTATGTGATTACTTCTAAAATAAATATGTAATTTTTCTGCTAAAAATTAACTAGAACCTAAATTTAAAACTTTTTATTATTGAGTCAGTTGATTATTGGAGCTCTGCTCACACTGAACCACTTGAATACAGATGCCAAACTGACAAATGGGTATCTTGAATACTGTAAAGAAAGGCACCAACAACAAATAAGTTTTGTTGTAGTAGTTTTTTATATAAAAAATGTAATCCTTCACTTTCTTTTCTAAGAACATGGTAATGATAGGGTCTGTCCTTTCTTAGAACCGATTATTTCTCATACAAAGCTTACATGCTTTCAGTGCTAAAATAGTTTTTCTTTTAGGAAGTAATGGACAATAGTTAGAATTTCTGGGCAAATAATGTTAGAAACTCTGTTCATTTCTTGCTTTCTCTGGTTTGGTTTGGTTTAGTTTGGTTTGGTTGTTTAAGCTGACCCATGAAATCTAAAAGCCTCTGTGCTAGAGAAAAGAAAAACCATTAGGGTACAACTAGGGGTGTAAGATAAAATATAGGAAATTCAATTATATTTTATTACTTTTCCCACAATAATTAGCTATTTATTTGTTTTTTATTTTAAAATACTTAATTAACAAATACGAACTGTATATATTTAAGGTATATAATGTGACCCAAATACAAACTGTATATATTTAAGGTATATAATGTGACCATTAGAAATGCATATAAATTGTGTGTTGATGGGACCAGCAGTTATCGTAATGGCTATGTCACTGGATGCCCATGTAGTTGACCACGGTTCGAGTCCCGGATCCGGTGGCTTAAACTCATGCCGGGCGCGTGTGCGTGCATGCCCAAGATCCCAAGAGGAGATTGTGGCGTGGCCATCCCCCCTGGGGGGTGATTTCTCGCTTTCTGTCTCTCTGTCTCTCTCTGTCTGTCTGGCGCGAGTGCACGTGCGCTCTAGCAAAAACCTCTCCAAAAAAAAAAAAGAAAAGAAATGCATATACATTGTGTATTGTTTGCCACAATACTTAACACATCTACTACCACCTATAGTTACCACAGTGTGTGTGTGTGTGTGTGTGTGTGTGTGTGTGTGTGTGTGTATGAAGGGGTATGAAGGCCACTTAATATCTGCCCTCTTCAGGTGTGTTTGCATACGGGCCCAAAACCCCAAGAGGAGAATGGAGAAGGGATTGCAGCATGGCCATCCCCTCTGGGGGGTGATTTCTCACTTTTGTCTTTGTCTCTCTGGCAAGTGCACACACCCTATGGTAAAAAATCTCTCAAAAAAAAAAAAATCTGCCTTCTTAAAAAATTTCAAATATACGATACATTATTACTATTATCTATAATCACCATACTATACATTAACTCTCCAGACTTACTCATATTATAACCGAGAGTTTATACCCTTAAACAAAAATTGCTCCCTCTCACTGCCCACCCACGGTAGCCACCCTCAGCTCTCCAGATTCCACATATTAAGAGAAATCATGTGTTATTTGTCTTTCTGTCTGACTTATTTCACTCAGCATAATGTCCTCCAGTTCTTGTTTTTAAACTGTCCTAAGGGTGTGAAGTGATATTTCATTGTGGGTTTGATTTGCATTTTTCTAATGACTAGTGATGTTGAGCATCTTCTCATTAATATATCTTCCTTGGAGAAATGTTCTTTGCCTTAATTCAAATTTCAGAGAAACAGTTAATAACATATTTTTAGTATACATATGTCCTACACAATATTGGGAATGTATGTATACAAAAATATCAAACATTGTTTATCTGAAACTCAATTTCAGCTAGGTGCCCTGTATTTTTATGTGATAAATCTAGCAGCACCAGAAAGTGAGAACTTTGATGGATCTCAAATAATCTTTAAATATTTCACAATTTGCTAAGGTGCACTCTGAAATAGTTGAGTGTATTTTTTGTGGGTATTGGCTGGTAGCCCTGCTTTATTAAAAAATTGTAATTTCATTTTGAGATTCTCCAGACTAAATCATTTGAGCTTCACACTCTTTGTGTAACATTATTGGACTCCCTTAATGAAATTATAACTCAGGCAAGATATTTCATTCTCTTGTAGTAAATTAGCTTGGGCTGTGAGGGTTCAGGGAGAGCAAATCCTTCCCTGGGTTTATTCTTCTTGTTTAGTTGAACGAAGAAAGAGCAGGCGTTTTATATTTGAGTTATTTATTGTTCTCTTTGTGTGAACATTATACTGTTGCCTGTCCTTCCTGGAAAAAGCAGCTGTTAACAGGTTCCTAAATGAATTTCAATATGAACTCCCCTGGCCTGTGGAAAGCTTGTCTGAAGAAAAAATAGGCTTAGCCTCAAAAGAGAAAGACCAAGTTTTGGGCTGGGTTTGGATGCCTGAAAGCCCAGAGCATATAAAACTACCAGTTAGCTTTTTTGTAAGAAATCACATTTAGATGTGAGAGAACTATCTAAGCAGTTGTCCTTTAATGATAGACCAAAAGCAATAAACTGCAAATTAAGTAACCTCCTAAAAAATCCTGCCCTCAAATGGGGGAAGGAGTTGGAAAGTATCCCCTTTAGCAAAGTAACTAAACCCAGAGTCCTGGGCAACTTAAACAATAGGAATACAGAAAGTGACTCTTACCATAAGCATGTACCACATTACATAAATAATGATGATATTTCCATCTGTAGTTTTTATTTTTTTTTATTTTTTTTCAATTTATTTATTTGCATTCATTCACTGTACATCATTACAGCATACAAAATGAGATTTTCCATCCAGAGTACACTGTATATTGTCTCAATCAAGCACATCAACAAACATGTTATTGTCAGCAAATAATCTTTCATTTCTTGTTTTCTGTATGTTTTGCTTTTTTCCCCCCATCCTTGATTCCCTATCTCTTACCCTCTGCCATCTCCCACTCTCCTCCCACACTGTCTCTGGTATCTATGTTTGCTTTCTATACTGTGATCCCCCCACATTTTATTGAATCACCAAAGACCTAATCAATCCAAATACCCTCATAGCAAACACAGGTGACACGCACATTTCCATGAGCACAAGTCTAACTTTACACATCCTATAAAGTAGCACCTAGCCGGGGCTACATATCCTACTGTGGTCATTGAATAGATATATTTTTTTTCCTGAAACTTTTTTGTTTTTTTGTAACTCAATTTACATCCCTTCCCTAAGCATCATCACAGCACACAAAATGTGATCTCCCATCCAGTACACACTGCATAGTGACTCAATCATGCACATTACAAAAAATTTTCCATTTCTAATTCCTAGAATTATTTCCACCCCTCTTTCTTACCATCTGTAGTTTTTAAATAAACAGGTCATTCAGTGAAGCAGGGCTGCTCCATGGCCCAGCAGTTAGGTGATGTGCAGTGGAAGCCAGATTCCACATGACCCACTAGGGTTCTAATCCCAGCCCAGTGGGCTTCACAATCATCTTGCATACATGCCACACACATGCTCAGGATGCTGACGGGAGAGAGAAATGGAGGAAAAAGATTGCAGCATTACTAGGCCCCATTGGGAGTGCTCTCCCTCTCTCTTCCTCTCATTCATGCACATGCTATCGTGATAAAAATAGACTTTAAAAATTCAGTAGAACATCATGAATTATACAGACTTATGTGGAATGGGTGTGCAGCTAGAGGGCAGAATCTGGGAGCTGAGGGGGATCCAGGACTGAAACCCTGAAGGGTTCTCTTCCACAGTGGAGCCTGCTCCTTGGATGGAAAAATACTCCTAACTTCTGAAGTTTAATTTAGTTGATTGGAATCTCAGCAATAAGGAACTTTTCTTTTGACTCCCTCTTTAGTCGGTTTTTTTTTTTTCCTCCCAGTAGTACCTCCAACCTACAATTCCTTAATCTGTCTACTTAAGAGAGAAATTGCTAAGACCATGGGGAAAAAACATTTTATCGATCACTAACAGCATTTCCTAGTTTGGCTCATTTTCCCAACTGTGCTGCATTCAGTGTGTCTGGCACCTAGGACACTTGGCAGGTTGAACCTTTGCTTACCTGGACACCTGGCTGCAGGCAGAGGTCAATCCCGCATGTTCCATCCACAGTGTGAATTACACTTGCCCATTTCCAGGAAGGGTTGCTCAGTCCACTGCCTCGTCACCCTTCTCCCTCTTCTACAAAACACTGACTAAGTGTCATGGACACAGCTTTGACAAGTCCCTTTATTTTTTTTTTCATGTATTTCAAGCCTATAAATTCTCCACAAATGGAGAAAAACTTTATTTGTATAATTTTCTTTTAATTATGGATTTTTAAAAATTGTTTCAGTTCCCCCATGTAAAATATCCTCAAAATGGTGGGCATATTGAATGTAAATGCAAAGTCATTAACGAAAAAGATTACTTACCATTTTGTGGTACATGGAATAAGAGGAGGAGAGATGACACAAACAAAAGAGGAAAGATAGAAACCATAAAGTTTAAAATTGAATGGAGAAAGAAATTTGATAAAATGCTGTCAGAAATTCAATAAAAGACTGAACCAGAATGAAGTGGCTGAAACCAAATGACCTCTCCACCTCCCTCTTTCGAGCCCTCAGTAATAAGAACATATGAAAGCACTGAGTTTTTCTGAAACTCCATGTCAAAGTGCATTTCCTGTTCTCCTTTTCTTTCCAGACAAAATGAGCATGTTGTCAACCTTCCTCGCTCCCTTCAAGTACCTAAGTCCTGGCACCACAAATACGGAGGATGAAGACAATCTAAGTAAGCAATTCCCCTTCCCCAAAGTGTGTGGAGGAGGATGAGCAGAACACGTCCTCCACAGCCCCCAAAAACTGAAAGCCTGGGGCCAGGTGGGAGGGGTCACGTGGTCTTCCTCAGAGTAGAAGAGTCTTCTACTTCTTGCTCCCAACCTACCCGACAATTCCGTTCTCTCCTGAAAGCCATCCTGACCCGCAGTCCTGCCCGCCCTGCAGTCTCATTCCCTCTGGCATTCTGTTCCTTATTCGCATCTTCACCCGGAGTCCCATCCTCACGGGAATGGCAGGAAAGTATCAGTAATGTTTGTGTGACTGAGAACCCCAGGGACTGAAGGAAATAAATCAGTTTTCTTGGACTCTCTTCTCCTTTTCTCTAGAAACAAAAAGAAAAAAAGAAAAGTGATCACAATGTCTTAAAACATGGTTTCTACAATTGTTTAACAAAGAAAGTGCTGGGCTAGAGTCTCCCTTTCGACACATTTCTGGCACATGACACTGGACAGGTGCCAAAGCAGTGTGGAAAAGGGTTATGAGGCTGGTTAAGGAAGGGATCTGAGCTGTTTCCTGTTCAGACACATAAGGGGAGCCCAGAGTACACATGACTGAGGTATGTATGTGTCTGTGTGTGTGTGAGAGAGAGAATATCCTGGGAGCGTTTGGCTCTTCTCTTGCTTAGAGCATGTTGCCAAGTATTTAAAAGACAAAGACCAAACACTGCAAGCCATAGGAAGACTCTTCTGCTTTTTAATATCACCTAAAAGATGGGTTTCTGTTTCAACTAAAAAGAGTTAAAAATGTGCTTGTTACCATGAGACAGGAAGGAAGCAAGGGGTTTATTGCTAGCCGCTAGGATTGTCAGTTGGACCAAGAGGAGACCGTGTGAGGGATTTTCACAGGATATTGTCTGTTTTATGCCAGTTTCTAAATGCCACACATGTCCACAAGAATAATCCCTCCTCTTTCCCAGACAACATAACTATTGATGCTATTGAAAACTGGGGCCATCACCCTGGAGTATTCTAAAACAAAGGCAGAATCTGCAATGCCAACCAGAGGAAACTGATTCTCAGCTTGGATTCCTTATTTTTCAGATGAGGATATGGAGGGCTAGAGGAAAGAGGCAGGACTCTACTGGGACAAAAGAAGGGGCTCCATTCTCAGCCAAGCTCAGAGGTTGAAGGGAAGCTCTGACAAATGACTTCTTATTCTCTCATGATCTCAATTGGAAATTTCTAGATTAGTCCATTTATTGATAGCAGTTTCCAAATCTGGAAATATTTAGAAAAAGAAGTTTTAAAGCGTGTATCGAGTGTATGTGTGTGCGTGCATGTCCGCACACCACACCAAACTGAATCTTAGGTGTAGACAGAGCTATCTACACCTAAAGCACTTGGAGGGAAATGTCACTTACCTCTTCCTCTTTCTTGCTTGGAGCTGCTGGAATCCTAGAAGAATCTAGTCTCTCAAAACAAAAAGGAACAAAGGAGTTAACAAAGGCTAGAGAATGTTCTGGGAGTGGAGCAAACAATTCTATAGAACCACAGTAACCACATTTCAGTGGCCACCAGAGCCCCAAGGACTTGAGAAATAAACTGACGCCTTTGGGAAGTTGGAATTCTGTTCCTGAGGGTATTAGAAGAGTAACACAACAGGCAGAAACGTCTCCTCTCTCCCCATCAGGTGCAGCATAGACTTCTGAAAACACATGGCTAGGAGAGTCAGAGCCTAGTGTGGGTTCAATCTCAAGTATTGTGCTTGCGTCTGTGCCACCCTGGCCATAAGGCCATGTCTTACAGCCTCAGAGCTTTGCTTATAAGAAGGGTATAGATATGGGACCAGCAGTTAGCATAATGGCTATGTCGCTGGACTCCCACATAGTTGACCGCAGTTCAAGTCCCGGACCCGGTGGCTTAAACTCACGCCGGGCGCATGTGCATGCATGCCCAAGATCCCGAGAGGAGAATGGAGAAGTGATTGCAGCGTGGTCATCCCTCCAGGGGGTGATTTCTCTCTTTCTGTCTCTCTGTCTCTTTGTCTGACTTGCCCTATAGCAAAAACCCCTCCCAAAAAAAAGAAAGAAAAAAAAAAAAAAAAAGAGTATAGATATATAACCTAAATCAGGAAGTCGAGATGAGACAAGGACCTGGAACGTGGGAAATGGTCCACTGAGGCTCACTCATATTTATACTTAAAGCCATTTCCCCCTAATTCAGCTTACTGGCCAATGGGTAGAGACCTGCAGATAAAAATTATTTTTGATTGGAAACAGCAGTTAGTGTAATGGCTATGTTGCTGAACTCCCATGTAGTTGACCGCAGTTCGAGTCCTGGACCCAGTGGCTTAAACTCATGCTGGGCACATGTGCGTGCATGCCCAAGATCCCAAGAGGAGAATGGAGGAGAAGGGATTGTAGCGTGGCCAGCCTCCCTGGTGGGGGACTTCTCTCTTTCTGTCTCTCTGTCTCTCTCTGTCTTTCTGGTGAGCAGACACGCCCTATAGCAAAAACATTTTAAAAAATTATTTTTGATTATTTACTATACATTAAAATACATTTTCAATCAGTAAATTAGTTGTCCCATTGTGTGTAGATACTGTTAATTTACTTAGAAAACTCTGTTTCCATGGACTGTTCAAAGACAAACTTCCAAATTAATTGGACCTGATTTAATAGTTCCCTCTCATATCACCAATATTTACTGTCCACATGCCACAGGAAGGTAGAAAAACTGTGCAGGAGTATGTGATGTGTGTGTGTGTGTGTGTGTGTATGATTTGTGTACTTGCGTGATATGTGCATGCATGTGATATGCAGTGTGGCATGTGTATATGTTTAAGGTATATAGAACATGTGTGTTGTTTATGTGTATGGTACATATATGTAGTATATTTATTTGTATACTTAGTGAAGGAGGGATAAGTGTGTGCATTGTGTATGTGGTATATGTGATGAATGTAGTGTGTGTGGTGTGTACATATGTGTGCATACACCTATGTACAAGGAGCTCAGGTAGGTGGCAATCATATATGAACTTTCCCTGTAGCCTCATGTCTCACGTGTTTCAAATCCTGTAGACCTGGTGTATCTGACAGCTCTCACATGTGACAGCTCACACCTCACATTGAGTAGGTTAAACTTTGGGAGATGAACCACTTACTGTGGGATCACTGGCTGGTTTAGGTTTCGGGTCCACTATATGATGCCACATATCTGACATGTGCCTGTCTTAGGCAAGTGATCTAGAAGCTTTAGTCTTCCAACACTGGAAAGCGAGGAGTCATGCTTCTTCTGGCCCATTATCGCTCTGCCAAGCACTGTCCAGGGGATGTGATTCAACCCAGATCCATGAAGGATGGTTGAGACTAGGGCTGGGGTGACAAGCCCACATCTGTGCTGGGTATTCTGGGGGAAGGAAATCTCCCACTTCCCCATCTGCTTGTGTCTGAACCCCTCACACATGGGGACAGCTCTGTGGGGTCCTGAGGCACTGCCCGGCTTGTGATTAAAATGCTGTGTTTACTGCATTCCACAAACCCTCCCACCCTGCCTCCTGGCACAATGGACTTTTCTCAGGCCTCAGTCTCCATGCCCTCCTCCTATTGGAATCGAGAGCCCAGACACCTGCCTTTCTCTTGGTGCAAAGCTCTGTCTTAGGCAGAGGAAGAGTTGCTCTTTTTTTTTAACACTGGGGCTGCTCTGCAGCAGAATAACCTTCACCAGGAACAATATTATCTCTTCAAATGTAGCGTGGCGCATCGGATGGCTGGTTCTCTAGAGCCCTTCGACCCGCAGACACGGTGGTGTCATTATTAGTGATGCATACGATCTCAATGATGCCCGCCATGCAGGGAAGTCGGGTGTGCATAATGACCAGGCAGAGGATGCTGGCACAGTGAGGGAGCCACCGAGGAGGGAGAAACACATGGATAAATGTGCAAGCAAGCACAGGCTTCTGCACACTCATCGGGAGGAAGACCACAATGAAATCCCATCAAAGACCCCAGCCTCTACCTGGTCTCTCTACTTCTCAATGAAGGCAGTCTATGTCATTAAACAAAGTCAATAAAGAAGAATATATTTCACTTCAAAATAAAATGTAGTCATAGCCATGACAATATAAAATGTTCCTTTCTTCCCAAAATGTAACTCTCTAGTGCATTAAACCTTTAAACTTAGTACTACATCTGCTGACACTTTTTGTCAAACATGATAATGTACAGGATGCTCCGAGACAAATCCATGTATGAGAGAGGTGGAATGGAAATCGTTTCATTGTATATTTTCCCATGCAGATGTCTCCCTGACTTAGACACCTTCTTTTAGTGCATGGCAGTCTTCAAATTACTTGTGAATGTTCTATTGCTGCTGCATGTAGTATTTATCCAATGTACTTTGAAGTTATTTTCCTGCTTTTTTTTTTCTAACCTTCACAATGGAAAGGCACTCTGAATGCAACCCTCTGAAAATTGGATGACACCACAAAGACCTCATAGAAGCCACTGCTCAGGGATGTCTGTCAAAAGAAGCCTTGAAGGATGAGGCAAGGTGCCCCAAGCTAATGCAGGAGCAGCATGCACGTGGCAGTCAGCACTCAAGATGCCACCCACATGGTTTCACTGGGAACTGTGTTTTTTTAGAAACGGTGTCAGAAATCTAGATCAGGAATTTTCTAAGAGGGAAAGAATGTGCCGCGAGCTCCTGCTGGGGAGTAGAGGTGGTGGGAGCTGCCCATTCACCACAGGGCCACCACACCATTCTGTTCCCCTCGCTGCATCCCCAGCATGTGCACACACATATTCATGTATACACACACATCGATGTGCACACACATGTTCATGCGCACGCACGCATCAGTGGTTTCCGGCCCCAGTTAGTGACTCTGAACAGCCTGAATTCATAGGATGTTTGTAAGAGAGACAAAGAGAGAGACACAGAGAAAGACACAGAGAGACAGACCAAAAAAAAAAAAGAGAGACAGAGAAAAAGAGGGAGTTGGATATAGAAAC